AAGGAAGGAAGGAAGGAAGGAAGGAAGGAAGGAAGGAAGGAAGGAAGGAAGGAAGGAAGGAAGGAAGGAAGGAAAAAAATCCCCCATTCACTCTGTGTTTCCAATGCAGGTTCTCCCTGGACCAAGTCCCTCTCTATCTCGATCCTCACCCTCAGGGAATCGGGGCAGCTGGAGCAGCTCCGCACCAAGTGGTGGGAGAGCCGCTGCCGCCACCAGACCCGGGAGCGCTGGGCCCCGCTGCCCCCGCACGCGCTGGCCGGGCTGTTCCTCACCCTGGGCATCGGTCTGTCTGTGGGTGTCCTGTTGGCACTGCTGGAGCTGTCCCGGCAGAGCCGGCGCAGTGCTGGACATGGACATGGACAGGTAGGTGGACATGGGCAGGGCTGCATGTGCCCACTGGGCTCTGATGGGCAGCCCATGTGCCCAGGCAGCCCTGGTACTCACCATCAAGGCTGGCGCATGTTCATAGTGATCCTGCAGCCTCCACACATCAGGAATGTCCATGGGTGTTCCATGGATGTTACATGTGGGGGGAGGGGTCCATGTTTGCATGTAAACATCATAGTGTGCAATGTGCCATAGCGCAGAGGTGTTCAGCTACATCACTCCACACAGCATCTCACACACAGTGCAGGCACTTTCTAGGGCCCTCCCATCCCACATCTGTGTGCTGGGTATGTACACAGGAGACGCACTCACCAATAACAACTTTATTCTCAACTGTGGCTACTTTGTTTAAGTCTCTGCGCAGTGTCAAACTGGCTGGACCTAACTCCCCTGCAGCCACACAGTGCCTGTTTGGGATGTAGGTTGTGGCATTCAGCTCTCAGCCCTTGCTTTTCTCCTCTTTTATTTTTCAGAAATCCTGTTGCTCCATTTTCTTAGAAGAAATCTGCACTCGCTTGCAGATAAAGGAAAACACAAGACCGAGCCAGGAGCCTTCAGCCAAGACCAGTGCTTAATCCATTTCTGTTCCAGGGTGGTTAGAGCAGGGGGTAGTTTTGTTGTTATGTGTTTTATAGGCATTACACCAACATCAGCCCCTTTCCCCAATAGTTTCCTCTCCCCCACATGCAGTTTTCCTGTGGCAGAATCTAAACGAGGGAGAAAGGCAGGAAGGAAGGGTGCCCAGGGTAGAGCAGTTCAAATGATGGCTTGTGCACACCAAATGAGGAATCAGGTTGAGCCACCTGCAGTGCTGGATGTGTATTTAGTGTAGTGCTTTTGCTCTTAGTTCTTTAACCTGTTCCGAAGGAACATGCAGTCGGTCACCATTCAGCCTTACCTTACCATGTCCTGTATTTTTTAATCAAAAACATATGTTCCATTTCACAAGGAGAATAGCAGACTGTAGCATCTACAAAATGCTGCAGTGCACACTTACATTACATGACCCTTGCAAGTGACTGCACATTTTCTTTTTTTAGTATAAAACAATTTTCTGATTAATTTACAAAGCAATGAATGGATACTTAAGACTTAGCTTTGAGCTTTGAAACTCAGCCACTGAATGTCCTAACTAGTAAATTAGCACTCATTGCACATTCTCAGGATGAAAATCTGTAATTCCTTGTAGAGGTATCTTTGCCCTGTCAAACCGAACATTTTCTCTGCAATGATGATTAGGTGGAAAATTCATTGTCTAGGTGCTGAGTTCTGTTTGCTAAAAAAAAAAAAAAAAAAGGCAAATCACTTCCCATGATTCAGAAGTGGTTTCAACAGTGGTGCATGAACAAAAAAATTCAGTACTAACAACTCAAAAGACAAAAATAAGATGCTCATGACAGGGAAACAGCTGGGTATTCTTAAATAAAACAGTACAGAATCAGTTTAAGTTAATGTCACTATAGTGAATTCCTCAGCAGCGATTAGAACTTAGATGCTCGAGGTGCAGAGGCTTGGTTGCTACCAAACAGCAGAACTAGCAGAGTTAGAAGGTCTTCCACGTGCTCTTCAGATGTCTACTATGCTCT